TAATAATTATTGCTATTACTTAATTACTGATAATAATTAACTAGTGATAATATTGCTCATTATTAATTTAGAAAATATTTTCTTATAATAATTACTGCTAATACTTAATTATTGACAATTTATTACTAACAATGTTGCTCATTATTAATTCGAAATGATAATTAACAAATAAATTCATAATGGTAATTAATAATTAGCAAATAATCATTTTATATTTATATTAACTCGTATTAATTATTTTGAAAATAAATATTTAATGTTAATTATTTATATTATAATTATTATTATAAATTATAATTCATACATTTATATGAAATAATTAATTATAATTAATAATATTATATTAATTAATATAATTATATTATTATTATTATCAATAAATATAATTAGTTATTACTAATACTAATGATGATAATTATTGCTTCGGAATGTTAATTAACTAATGATAATTACTAAGCATTTTAATAATGTTAATTGTTAATTGGGATATAATCATTTTATATTAATATTAATTCATATTAAATATTTTATAAATATATAATTAGTGTTACTTATTTACAATAATATTATTACAATTAATTATAATTAATACTATTATTATTCTACAATAAATACTTCATCTAGTGAAAGTTAAATTATAAAACTTTCAATTATTCAATATTGTTAAACTTAAAGAATTATAAAAGAAAATATTATTTTATGAGTTAACTAAAAATTGTAATTATAACAAATTAATTACTTAATAATAATAATAACAACAACAACAACAACAACAACAACAATAATAATAATAATAATAATAATAATAATAATAATAATAATAATAATAATAATAATAATAATAATAATAGTAGTAGTAGTAGTAGTAGTGGTGTTGGTGGTGGTGGTGGTGGTGGTGGTGGTAGTAGTACTTTAATATTACTGATTTCAAAACCAATACACACATAATAAGAATATATTATTAGTTAGTAATAATAATAATATACTTATTATTAATAATACATATTATTATTAAAAAATGTTAATAGTAAATTTTAATTACTTAAAATTATTTACTGAAATTACCCATTTTAATTCGGACAGATAATTAATTATTAGTTTTAATTTCTTAAAATTATTATTTACTGAATAATTTTAATTACTCTTTGATTTAAAGACTTATTTTTGAATAATTGGTTTTTTATGTTCAATATTTTTTTATTGCAAAAATATAAATAATTTTTCATTTGCAATGCTAACCATTTTATTTTTCTCTTATTTGGTTTTCCAAAAGATAAAAAAATAAATTAATGATATTTACCTATTTTTATCAAATTATGTATTTATCAAGTTGTTGTCATTGATGACAACGATGATGATGAGTCAACTTTTTGAAAGAGAGGGGTACTAATAATAATTAATGACTTTTAATTAATTAATTTCAGCTATTAATTACTAATAGTAATAATTCACTGATAATAATTATTGCTAATACTTAATTACTGATAATTTTTCTCATTATTAATTTGGAATGATAATTAATAATGATTTTCATAATTGTAATTAATAATTCAAAAATAATTATTTTATATTTATATTAACTCATTAATTATTTTGAAAATAAATATTTAATGTTAATTATTTATATTATACTTATTATCATAAATTATAATTCATACATTTATATGAAACAATTAATTATATTATTATTATCAATATTTATAATTAATACTTATATTAATTAATATAATTATATTATTATTATTATTATCAATAATTATAATTAATTATTACTAATAATAATGATTTTTGATAAAAATTAATTACTGATAATTAATTCCTTAATGATAACAATGATAATTATTACTCCAGAATGTTAATTAATTAATGGTAATTAATAAGTATTTTAATAATTTTAATTATTAATTGGGATATAATTATTTTATATTTATATTAATTCATATTAATTATTTTATAAATATATAATTAGTGTTACTTATTTGCATTATTATTATTGTAAGTAATTATAATTAATACTATTATTATTCTCCAATAAATATTTCATTTAGTGAAAGATAAATTATAAACTTTCAATTATTCATTATTGTTAAACTAAAAGAATTATAAAAGCAATTACTATTTTAGGAATTAACTAAAAATCGTAATTATAACAAATTAATTACTTCATAATAAAAATAAAAATAAAAAATAATACTAATTTAATATTACTTATTTTAAAATCAATACACACATAATAAGAATATAATATTAGTAAATAATAGTAAAAATTTTCAAATTACCTCTAAGTGAATGAACTAAAAGTCTCTGAGTATTCCAATTGACTTGAATTTGACACATCAACATGCCGAAAATTATAATTTCAACCAACATTTTCTATTTCTATCTCTCAATTCCCATAATTCAAACATACAATTAGGTTATGTACATGTTTCCCTACCTTTTTTCTAAAGATAAATTCTAGCTAGTGTATGTGCACCGTGGGGAGCTTAGACTTAAAATCCATAAACGTGATTGACCAAATGAAGTGTTACCACCTAACTTGGAGGTGACTTCCATATTCAAGATGGTCCCATTATTTTCATTTCGTTGTTGTTTTGGATGGGCTTTGGAGTCCTGATTATATTATCAGTTGATTGTAGCCATACATGACGATGATTTGATTGTTGTCACATATCTTCCATCTCTTATTTTAGATGATGGATGCATTTGCAAATGTTGTTTGACATTAATTGTTTTTCTTAACAGCTCTTTGAATAATTGTCTTCCTTATTTGCCTCTTTGAATGGATATCATTTAAATGTTTTTTATCCATTCATATGTCCCTAGATATTAAGCAGTATTGGTGATGTTGTTGTAAACATCCATTTGATTTTACTATTTTATAAATAGCTTAATGATTTCAAAGTTATTGATACTTTTTGGGGGTTGGGTTGTTTAATAGGACATTGATTTTTGGGTAAATTACAAAGACCCCCCTATACTATGGGGTCTGTGATAAAGACCTCCATGTAATTTGTTTTGCAACAAAGACCCCCTTGTACTATGACCGTGAGACAAAAACCCCCTTCCATTAACTTTTGTTGAAATTTGTCGTTGTAATATTTTTTAATCCCTATACTACCCATGCAAGAAAACACTGTTCACTTCCCCGACCTCACAATACAAGAACAGGACAAATAGCAGTGACGGTTCTATGGTTCAGTGTTGGGACTTATGATGGGGCCCATCCCCTTGTAATCAACTTGTCTCAATTGCGGACGATAACTGTCAAAACCAAATTTCAATTAGAAAACACCAAGAAAAAAAAAGCTTTCAATAGATTCCATCATTCCATGGATGGTTTATTATTTTTCTTTGACAAATCTAAGTCGGTCCCAATTGCGGGATCACCCAACAAAACATTGTACAGCGCTCTGGTTATCTAGGAATGGGAACCCAGTTCTGGAGTATCAAATCCATCTAAGTTGCAGTAAACACAGGACCAAGATCACAAATCACAAGCAAGCATGGTTAAAAAAGGAAAAATAGAGGAACAAAAAAAAGAAATTAATCCACTTTATTCATTTTCCTACAAAATAATTAGTAAAATTTGGAAATAACATAGTTAATTCAATTGAAACTTGATAGAACCCATTAACCAAAACTGTTGTGTTGCCAGTTTCAGAACCCACATGACCTAAAACGTTAACAAGAAAAACCCCAAAACAAAGAAAATTAAAGAGCAGCTTCCTTTTCTTACTTTTCTCATGGCGGAATCGTAGAACCTTAGCTGAGAAGACCAAGGCGAGTATGGGGATTAAAAAATATTGCAACGGCAGATTTTAACGAGAAACTAACGGAAGGGGGTTTTTGTCTCACGGTCATAGTACAAGGGGGTTTTTGTCGCAAAACAAAGTACAGGGGGTCTTTGTCATAGACTCCATAATACAGGGGGGTCTTGTAATTTATCCTTGATTTTTTATTGTTAAATAGTAAATTTCAAATTAAATGATGTTGTAGTTGCCCCTTATTTAGTATGGGGTGATTGTCTAGATAAAACATGACAAGTCTCTTGAATCAAATAAAGAGCCTACCCTAAATGTCTATTATAAATAATTAAAAGAATGAAATAATTTAAATTAAATCAAATAATTACTTGATATTAAGTAAATAATAATAACAATCAATTATTTATAGAAATAATTAATAATAATAACAACCATCAAATACTTAATTAAGTAAATAATAAAAAATGAAATGACAACCATCAGTTATCATTAATGTTTATTCAAAGCATGCCCCATAATAATTATTGAATTCAATAATTAAACCTTAAATAAGAATCAATATTTATTAACAGTCATTAAAATTGTTAAGCCAAATCATTAATGTTTATTCTTAAATGCAAAATATGAATTAACAAATCTATTATATAATAATTATACCTAATTTGAAAAAATTATTTTAAGTAAATATTAAGTAATTACAAATTTAGTTATTATTCTTACTAAATAACAAAAAAATTTAATTAAATATTAAAATAAAATAATAATAATAATAATAATAGTTAAATTAAAGAATAAATGGTTCAAGTTGAATTCAATAACTCGTATAATTTTACGGATTTGACCTATAAAGGTCAATTTATATGTGTTACTGTATCTTAAAACATAACAGTTTATAAATAATAATAAAAAAGGTTGATAAAAAATCATTAATGTTTACTCATTTATATATATATATATATAATTAGCTTCTCCGTACGTCTTTCATTCAGCAATATATATATATATATATAAATCATTCACCTTTTGTACATTTAGAACTTTCGCGAATCATACCACACCCAGTCACCCAACAGGCCAACACAAACCGCAAGCACGGCCACCGTCAGCTCCGTTATTTCAACGGAACGTCTTTTGCGTTTAGGGACATCGTCGTGAAATCGGATTCTTTTACGCCCTCAACGTGGGGCCCGAGTTTTGAATCGTCATCCAATCGACTTCCGGCACGCGTATCTCGTCTGCCTTCAACCTACAGACCGTTCTCGCTCGGGAAGGCAATGAGTCGCATTCGCCGTCTTTCCAGTTATAGTCCTTTCGCGCCTCTCTCTTTTCTCACTCTCTGTCACTACATTTCTCCGAAGCCAGACTGAGTTTCTCTTCTTTGCTTTGCTTACAGGCAGAACTTGAATTCGACATGTCGAGTTGTTCTGGTAAATCTCTCTTCTCTGCGGCTGCATATATACTTGACGCGTATCATTCCCATTAGGCTCTGTTTCTTTTTTCTTGTATTTGGATTTTGGGGTGCAACGTTGGGAATCAAAAACTTTTCGGCGAAAGAAATTGAATTCAGGGGTTTTCTTGAAATGCATGTATTTCGGTGGTTGATGAGTGAACTACCGAGTCTACGTCGGTAATGCGGTATGCAGTATGCAATATGGTTGGAAACCACTATGTGGTGGTGATTTCGGTTTATATATTTGATACTGTTTCTATTTCTATGTTCATGCTTTATACTTGGAAACTACCATATAGCAGTGATTTTCGGTTAAAATATCTAATATTGTTCTATTTCCGAGTTTCATGGTTATTCAGATTGTCTTTTTTGGTATTCTGGTTGTCTTGCTATTCACGCAATTTTGCGTTATCTTTTTTGTGGAGTTTTCTAGTTTTAGTAGGTCTCTACTACATAATAATGCTATAAACAGCCATAAGGAACGTTGGAGGGTTTTACTGACTAAGAGCTCAAGTAGTAACTGGGTTTGAGTTGCATGGCCATCTTGTGCATAGTTTAGGGTTGGAATAGGTATCAGAGAGTTTTTATTCGGGCAGAAGAGTGATTTCTGGCGTGGAAAGTAATCATGCACTAAATCTTACTTTTAAGGGGCACGATCTATTGGAGTTGGTTTTGTAAAATAATGTTCTCCGGAGGCGAAAGTGGTGAAGTGGATTCATTGCTAGGACTCGCTTGACTTGCTTTACACCAGAAAATTCTGTTTCTTAAGTGATTTGGTGCATCAGGATTCTGAAAACCTCGAAAGAGATCTTGGATACAATTGCACACTGCTATTGCCTGAAAACAAGAAGTTGCAAGATATGGAGGAGATTGGTTCAATTCCCCAAGGTAACAAAGTGACCTCTTAAATTGTTCCTTTCTATTAAAGATAATAGAGAGAGAGTAAAGCTAGAAGTAGTTGCATGAGCATTCTAGGGTTGGGCTTCTGTTGGTTGAATGACTGTATTAGCTATTGATTTGGTCAGAAAGGGTGACCAACGATGTGATTTGATTTGTTCAATTGTCTCATTCACCCTTCCAACTCCTTGACATATAAAGTAATACTTTGAAGGTCTATATTGATATAAGGAATTTTGATCTTGCTTGCAGAAGTAGGATGTTGCTTTTTTTCCAATGTTTAGTTACCTTTAGGTTATGTTTTGGTAATTGATACAAGAGAAGATGAGCAAGATGTATAGACCTTTTTTGTGTGTGTGCATGTATGTAGATGTGAGTGAGTTGAGATGAAGTAAGGGCAGGATAATCTAGAGGGAGATAAAGAGTTATAGTGAAGGATCAAGTATGAACTAACTAGATGATTAAATAGAAATTGCGCTGGAACCCAGGTTTACGTGGATTCAGTAGCTTCATTGAGATAAAGATCATTAACTAAAGTTAATGAAGCATGTGAGAGTACAGTTTTTTTAACACGTTAGGTTCATATGATACTACAATGGATGATTAGTCAAGTATATTTATAGACTTCCTTAGCCTCATGGATGAACTCTCTTAGTTGAGTTGATAAATCTAGCTCCTAGATGAGACACATAGAGTATTAGAATGAGGGTGTTCCAGGATATCCTATAATTAAGCAATTCTAGTTTCAGGATTGATAGTTTGATACTGCTTTTGTACCTCATTATGCCTTACACTATTTGATTTATTTACAAAAAAAGCACTATAGACTAGTTGACCTGCTCCTCTAGAATTGAATTTCTGCTATAATGTTTGATATCATTCACCATCATATTTGTAATTATTTGCATGGTTCAAAGTATCAAAATGATATGCCTAATATGGGATACATCGCACTGTATCTTTGGGGTACTGTTACATTAAATTCAAGGGGTTTTGGGCCCTGACCTGTGTCAGGTGGTGGCCAGGCCTAAGGCTGAGCCCCTGTAAAATTTTGAAAAAAGAAACTAAAAAGGGGGAGCGTGCCCTTTGAAACACCTGATACACACATGTGCTTATCAGGTGTATTCATACTTTTAACCATTTTTATTTTCTATTTGTTCCCTAGACTTAGATCATTGAGTGTTCAAATTTATTTTATCCATTCTTTTATTTTTGGTATGCCTTATTGGATTTGCATTTTGCATGGTTCTGATTCATTAAATTTAATTTTCTTATGCATCTTATTTGGGTCATCCTCATAGGTAACAAAGCTGGACATTTACATTTGAACTTAAATGAGCCACCAAGTGAAGGTGAAGAATTTTGTAACCATTTTTAAATTTTGGTTGTATGTCTTTTCATGACGTAACATTTTTTGTGTTCTGTTTATTGTTATGTATCACTGTGAATGCTGATGAGAATTACTGTGGTCTGCTAATTTGTCTTCATGTAGATGGTTCTGGATGTTATGTGATGCTGACAAAGGATCAGAAGCCTATATCCCGCACAGAATGCCTTAATCCTCCATTTAAAGTGTATGCCATCTTACCTGTTGTTACTATTGATTCTTGTTTTTGTAGCATTCTCTGAAACTGATGGTTGATTATTAATTCTTATTGAGTTGATATATTGTACACGGTTTTCATCTTGTACTTAGTTTTCAAAGGCGCCAAGGTGAGGCTAGGCAACAGGGGGGGCGCCTTGTTGCCTAGTCACATAGATGATGGATTTTTTCAAGTAAAGGATATGTATTCTAGGGTAGTTCCCTAGGTTCCATAATCATATTTCCTTAATAATTATCCATAATTTTCATGAGAAAAGTATAAACTTCATGTTAAAATATAGAAAACCAACAAATTCCAACATATTCATGAGAAGAAAAAGAAGAAAGAAAAGAAAATTTAAAAAATATGGGGGGTCAGGGGAAGTTATTATAATGGTGCATAGCACAGGATACCAAAAAAAAAACATAAGTTTCAGCTCTTAACCCATTCTTTGTCTATCTATTTAAAAAAATTAAAAAATATAGGGGCTGAACCCCTATTTCTGTTATAGGAAAAGAAGAAAGGAAAAAGTGGAAGTAGAAAATGTGTTTTGATTAGACAACATTTTAAGTTCTTTATTTATTGGTTCAGGTTTTTGAAGCCTTTGAAGGTTCTTAACAATGTTTGTGTTGATTAAACCCTAACAAATAAGAAAATAATAAGTATATTAACACAAAAAATGAATATTTTAGTTTAATAATGTCTATTTTATAATTATTATTATTTTGATCAGAAACGATAACTTCCATTAGAGATAAATTAACCTGAAATACAGAATTCAGCCCTTATTAGAAAAGGTTGATCCACTAAACATCAAACATTACAGCACTGCCCAAAAAAGACTCTCCCTTGCAGTCCCTTGTTTTGCTAGGGCGTCAGCAAAACCATTTG